CACTCTCTCTTTAAAAAAAAGATATATCCCAAAGGAAAGATTTAAGATTTAAATAAAAGGTAGGTTATTAATTATAAGAAACCATCACTGTATCCCTTCATATGTGTACATCAACTATATTTGACATACATTTCCTCACTAAGTTTAAGACTTAGGTCTGACATGTCAAGCCTGTAAATCAAACTTATGTATCAAAATATATAGAAAAAGGAAGATAGTGGCTCAGAGGAAACCCCAATGCTGCAGCAGCTCTCCAAGAATGATTTAAAGCAGTAGTTCTGCAGCAACAAACTGAAGTAGGGAAATGAGTATTGGCAGGAGCATAATATGGTGGCAACTTGGTGATCTAGTATTCAGAAGAAAACCAAAAGTATTGGTCCCAAGAATAGGAAAATAATAAATAAAGGTAACAGATGGTTGCAGTGTCAGGCACACTGTATCAAAGTGAGAGAGGGAAAGCTCTCCTTCTCCAAGAAGAAAGTCACTTCCCTAATGAACTTAAGTAAAATAGATTCTAATGAACATGTCTGCAACTGGAGAGCATGAATTCAGAAAAGTTTGGGTTGTGTTTATTGGGGACAAAACATAGGAGTCTTTGGCTGAACACAGAACTTGTTATCTCCAACAGAGTTACCTTTAAACATCCAAAACCAGTTACATAGGCTATACTTTTCACTGGATCATTGGTGCCCAAACCTAGAAATATTCTGAGCATAGAAGAGAAAATTTTACCTTGCTGGGGCTCTGCAAAGTGAATTATAAGGGTGTTTTCTTTATAAAGGGGCACACTCACTAGAGTGATAAATGGTGTGGATGTCAGGGGGTTATGGGTTTGAGTCTAAGAAAGATCAGAGGGAAAGTCTCAGGCTTACTCCCATGTCATACCACATGGACAGGAACAGTGCCTGCTTAGGAACCAATTTCCTCAACAAGACTCCCAAAGCACAAAAAGTAAAATCAAGAATCAATAAATTGGATGATATGAAACTAAGTATTTCTTCACAGCAAAGGAAACAATTAAGAACATGGAGACCCTAGAGAAGGGGAGAAAATCTTTTCTACATGCACCTCAGATAGAGTGTTAATCTTAAGGACATATTAAGAACTCAAAAACTTTAACAACAAAAACCCAAATAACCCAATCAATAAATGGGCAAAGGAACTGACTAGGCACTTCACTGAAGAAGAAATAAGAATGGTTTAAAAATATATGAAAAAATATTCAACATCTCTAGTAATTAGAGAAATCAAATCAAAACTACACTGAGATTCCATCTCACTCCAATCAGAATGGCAAATATCGAGAATACAAATAATAATAAATGTCCGAAAGAATGTAGAGAAAAAGTTATATTCATTCATTGTTGGTGGGACTGCAAATTGTGCAACCACTCTGAAAAGTAGTATGGCAATTCCCCAAAAAGCATACAATGGAACCACAATTTGACCCAATTATCCAACACCTTGTTATATACCCAAAAGACTTAATATCAGCATACTACAGTGATGCAGCCACATCAGTGTTTATAGCAGCTCAATTCACAATAACTAAGCCATTGAAATAATCTACATGCCCTTCAACTGGTGAATGAATAAAGAAAATGTGGTATAAAAAAAATGGCATGTGGGCTGGGGTGTAGCTCAGTGGTAGACTGCTTGCCTTGCATGTGTGAGGCCCTGGGTTTGATCCTCAGCACCACAAAAAATAAACAAATTTTAAAAAAAGATATTGTGTCCATCAACAATTAAATATATAAACAATGGCATGTTACTCTGCCATAAAGAAGAATTAAACTATGGCACTTGTCAGTAAGTGAATGGAACTGGAGGCTATCATGCTAAGTAAAATATGCCAGACCCCCAAGAAAACAAACACCAAAAGTTCTCCCTGATATGCAAAGAGAAACACACAATAAGGAGGGAGAGGGAAAAATAGTAATTCAGTGGATTAGACAAAGGGGAATGGAAGAAAGGGAGAGTGAATGGGAATAGAAAACACATTAGAGTTAATTGGGCATAACATTCCTATGTTCATATATGAATACAATACAAGTTTAACTCCACATCATGTATAAACACAAAAATGGGATTTTAAGTATAATAAGTTAGACTCCATGTGGTTATAATATGTCAAAATATACTCTACTGTCATGTACCTCTAAAAGGAGCAAATTATTAAAAATTTAAAAATTACTTTTGTGGTTAAAGAAGTTCTAATGAACAAATTAAGAGAACAAATATAAAAGGTTAAAGACCATTTCAATAAAGACAAATTTTGATAATCACAAAATCAGAATTCCTGGAAATGAAGGACCCAATAATTAAAAAAAATCATTTGAAAGTGTCATCACCAATGGATTAGATTACATAAAAAGCAGCATTTTACTGCTTGAAAACAAGGTATATAAACTTTTCCACTCAGTAAAAGTTAAAGGAATAAAGTAAAAGTCCAGGGCTGGGGTTGTGGCTCAGCATGTACAAGGCACTGGGTTCAATCCACAGCACCACATAAAAATAAATAAATAAATAAATAAATAAATAAATAAATAAATAAATAATGATATTGTGTCCATTTGCAACTAAAAATTTTAAAAAGTAAAATGCTATAATCACAATATACAGATCTCTAAAAATACCTTAAGAGACAACATTTAAGATTTATTGATCTTCAAGGTGAAATGGTGATACAGTCTATTGGCATTAAGAAACTTTTCAGTGACACAGTAGCATAAAAATTCCAAACCTAAAGAATGACATG